CAGGTTATGGCTTTGTCTCTATGGCCACTGCCGAATCCGCCGACAAAGCTGTCGAGCTTCTCGATAAGAAGGAGCTCGATGGTCGCCCGGTTATCGTAGAGGTCGCCAAACCTGCTGATCAGAAAGACAAGGAGAAGAAGCCCAAGAAATTCAAGAGGAGGCCAGGCCGGCGTGGCAGCAAGTCCGTGCCTGGCGAGATTAGCGAGGCGGAGGCCAACGGTGAATCCAATGGCGAGGCTGAGAAGGCTGAAGGTGCCGTCCCTACTACGGACGAGGCCGCTAAGCCTAAGAAAAAGAAGAAAAACAACGTGAGAATGGTGCTGAACTTTGTCTTCGTCTACTGATCGGATCTTGTAGCGCAAGAAGACTCGTAAAGCGACTTCAGCTGCTGAAGGTGATGCTGCAGCGGCCACAGAGACACCTGCGGCTGCCGAAGATGGCGCTCCCGAGGCGGCTGCACCCAAAAAGCCTCGTGCTCGGAAGCCCAGGGCTCCTCGTCCTACCCGTCCCGCTGGCGAAGACCCCGTTGGAGAGCCGTCCAAGAGCGTTTTGTTCGTTGCGAATCTGGGTTTCAGCGTCGACGATGCTGGCCTTGCCGCTCTCTTCACGGATGCCAACATTCCTGTCACTTCCGCTCGCATTGTCCGCCGTCGGTGGGGTAAGCCCCGCAGGAGCAAGGGTTACGGCTTTGTTGACGTTGGTGACGAGGACAACCAGAAGAAAGCCATCGAGCTCTTGCAGGGCAAGGAGGTTGAGGGAAGGGCCATTGCCGTGAAGATCGCGGTCAACTCTCAAGCAGAGGAGGCTGCTGAAGGTGAAGCAGCTCCTACTGACAATAAGGTTGTGCGCGAAACCACCCCCGAGGCGACTGTTGTAGCTTCTTAAATATCCTCGCATTATTTCTGCCCAGATACAGCATCCCTTCGTACACAAGCTGCATCTGTCAACCGCTCCATTCCACTTTTACTTCTCGGCTGGACGCCTTACTGTGGGACCTACTGGTGTTGGTCTGATCCCCTTGACTTCAATTTGATGAATGACCCATACTACGCAGAGCGGTCTGGTGCCGTTTCTTTAGTTGTTAGCTTGTGTTGTCGCACTTAGTCAATTGTAGCGGCTTTACTTGCTTCCTGTTATTTTATGATAATGACATGCACGCCTTGTGACGATCATCCTCAACTCATCCGTACACTACTGGTTATCTAAGCATTCTATGGCTGATGAGGAAGACGACTATCTTTCCGACAAATTTTTGTTGGAAAGCGCTCCTCTCTCTGCACCTAGGACCTATGCCGAACGTCGAAAAGAGGCGCAACGGGCTGCAGCTCTCAGGAACGAGCAGAACAGAAAGAAAAGCAAACGTCAGCTTGAAGTAGAATCTCGCGAAGAGGGCCTAAGCAAGAGTCTCTTTGAACGCGCAAGGGACGATGAAGCAGCTTCGGGACAGCAAAGTAAGGCGTTGGCAATGATGATGAAGATGGGATTCAAGCCTGGAGAGTCTCTCGGACAAAAGTACGACGATACACCGTCGGCTTCCGGGAGCACACCCAAGGAGACAGATATTTCTGAGCTGGCGCCGGTCAGTCGTCCATCTCCTAAAATCCAGCACATAACAGAACCACTTCCGCTGAGCGAATGGGCGGGTATGTAATAGCTATCCCTGACCGCATATGTTTCTGATGATTCCCTGGTGACACAGGCAGGAAGGGCATTGGTTCTGGGAAGCGTCCCCCCTCGCCCAGCGCGTCCGAGAGACTTGCGAAAATGGCGAAGATGGCGGAAGCAACGGACCATGCCACTTTTCGTGATCGCACCCGGCAGGAATACGAGGAGAGACGTGCGCAGGGCCGCTTGGCTCCAGCCCAACGCACATGCGCCAACCTGGACGAGAAGGCTGGCCGGAAGGTACGAGCCTCTCCCACATCTCAGCGAGCGATGCTGAATCATCCGGCATGACTGTGCAGTTTAACGTCCTTTGGTTGAACCCAGACAACGTCGATTCTTTCCCGGAAGGTCTGATAGATGCTCTGGATGATCCGTCTCTCATAGCAGCGTTGCTTCGACAACGCGCCGGCGATGGTATCGAGGGCCAGATGAGGTCAAGGATGCGCGCCGACGCCTTGCATCCGCTAAAGACATCACTGAATGATGATGACCTTCCGGCCACCGACACAGAAAAGCCGGACCTGAGCAGCTTGGCGTACTCGGAGGAGGAGATAGAGGAGGCTGCGCAGTTTTTACAACTAAAGGCAAGTCATGGTATGCCGTTTATCTGATGAGATTCGACGCTCACTTGCGCCATATATGCATTCAGGCACAAGATAAATTGCAGCTCCTACTCGACTACCTGCGTCAGACGTACGCATATTGCTTTTGGTGTGGAACAGAGTATGACGACCAGGAGGATATGAGCCAGAATTGTCCTGGTCCCGATGAAGACGCTCACGACTGAAACCGTACTGGGTATCAATGTATATATCAACGTCCTCGGATATGTAATCTATCCGAACACGGCCTGAACTACAGATACACAGCAAGGTGCAAAGCAAGATAGTCCGTAGGGAGTGTGAGACAGCCTCAAAAGGAGACACCAATGCAGCGAACGAAACCATAGTGATGGGCAATGGGCAATGATCGAAGTCCGTGGGCGGTATGCGCCAAAGAGTGTTGCAGCCGGAGCTGAAGAGACAAAGGAGAGAATTGGAAGATGATAATAGAGATAAAGCAGGTGATGACGTATCAGTACAAAAGTGGGGGCTGAATGAATACAAGATGAACTTCAAAGTCCACAGATAATTTATGCCACGGGCAAAAGGGGCGTAGAAGCAGGATTACTTGCGAGTCCATCCGATAATGAAAACACTGAAGCACGAATGCCAGGATCGCTGGCTCGTGCTAGTCGCGAAGATGCACTGACGTCCAATCGACACGGACGATCAGCAGTTTCTGACGATGAATCGCAGACATCGTGCATGTCTTCGTCCTCTGATAGGTCAGAAGAAGGGTATCGATACGTTGTTGGTGCTGGAAAGACAAAAGGAAGGGTCGGAATTGAGACGGGCTGCGCTAGACTGCTAGCGCGACTCCGTCTGCGATGAGGGAATGTTGGAGATGAGGGGGAAGCCTGTGGAGTCTTGCGTCTGACAAAAGTCGAAATGGGAGTATTTACTGCGAGATCTCTTTCGGATAGCGCCAACTTATGTGGGCGTCGTGCACTTTGGAGCGTGCCCGAAGACGATCTGCGGTTCATGTTGCATGTGGCCGGCGACAAGTAAGGTGATGTGGAAAGTGCCTACATCGCCACAGCCATTAGAACACAAAGATACTGCAATCTTAAAGAACAGAATGCTTACTCGCATACGCTCGGCTGGTTCTTCTTCGAGGATAGTGGGAGCACTCTTCTTCCTTGTGTGGGACTTGAGATGGATGTCAGCTCAAGCATGAATCTCTCGACAATCTCGGATACTCACGATAGTGGGGACGTAGGGAGAATATCGGGCGACACGCACTGGGCGCCTCTCCGATTCCCAGTCTCGACCCGATGGAGAGCTCTCGCGGCGGGAAACGGAGTATGATTGAGGCTCATCGACAGTAATGCTGGGATGAGGTGGTGATACAGTGCCAGAAGGGGCTGAAGAGAAGGAGCTACAAGATGAAGAAGTGGAAGAAGTGCGGGAATGGTGAAAGTGCGACCCAAAGCAGGCGGGACCGACGTGAGTGTCGAGAGTCGCCGGGCGGGCGGAATTGTCGAGACCCAAAGACGCCATGAGTTCTACAAATGAAGGGAGAGTGGTCATGGCAGAAGAGGAGGCCGGGGAGCGACCTTGGGGCCATCATGCGAACTAGGTGGGATCTATTATAACAGAGACAATACCTTGGAAACGGACCGAGCGAGCGCGGTTGCCAAGTGCCAGGACGAGCGTCATGAGCCCAAAGGGGAGCCGTTGATTGTGTTTCCAGTGTGAGACGATCAGTTGCAATAGGCGGTTGTCGACAAGGAGATGCCGGTCTACGACTGGCCACTCGGAAACGCCAGGGGCAATTGTCGCGGGGCGGCAGCGAGATAATTGCATCCGACGGGGTCGCCGAAGGATGGAAACCGGGCGGCCGAGCCTCCAAGATGTGGACACTGGTCAGATACAGGCCGGTGTAGCGTATCCACGCACCCACGCGGGGTCGAGCAGTATTATTCTGACAGAAAGAACGGCGTAGAGATCATGACTATTTATCGGTACATTCGTGAGCGGTTGCTACAGGAGGGTGTTTGTATCATAACGACGTCTGCTCGTCCGATACGCGCCTGCAGTGCGATAGCAGCTCGCCAGAGGATGACATGAGTGATGAGTCGTATCGGATTTCGCTGCTTGGACAGGACAAATTTAAAGACGACAGCTTGGAGCGCAGGTTTCCGAGGACAAGAGCTTGAAGGCTATCAGGGAAGGGAACGACGGCAACAGTCGCGCGGAAACGGTGTACTAGGAAGGGCGTACATATGTTGCGGCAGAGCCTGAGAGGGGGGGCGGTGGCAAACTAGTCCAACCGGGGAAGAGGAAGGTACATCGAGGAAGCTTGAAGTGCCAACTGCGCAGGCCGCAGGCCGCAGGCAGCGCAGTGAAGATCAAGATTGCCTCATTCGATCATTGGCGCCTCTTCGCACTGTCGGCGCAAACACGGATACACACCCTTCATTCGTTCTTGTCCTTCTCCTCCATGAGCTCCCAGCCAGGCCCACCGTCCTACACAAACTCCTCAAACGGGGCCTTCATGCCTGCCCCCAGGCAGGACATGGAGTATCTCTGCGCAGGTACGTCCGCCCTCTTTCTCCACCCCAGCAATCGCCCAATCCTCTATTCAGACTGCGGCGCAAAAAACGAGATCCGCTCTCGTGAACCGATTCGCTGCAGAGAGTGCGGGCATCGTATTATGTACAAGAAGAGGACAAAACGAAGTACGTCGAGCCTGCCATGACGTCCTGATGCCGAGCTCACCGTCCCTGAAGTGGTCCAGTTCGAGGCTCGATGAATTCACCGTTACCCCCTCATCCGTTCATTAATGCGGAACGAGGCTTCTGATTGCACCAATTAACTGGATTTTCATTGGCCATGATCGAGGGTTACCCCGTGCTGAACCTATCAGAGCGAATATCTCCTCGCCATGTGCGTAACCCACTGGGATCATGTTTAATGACATCGCTCGCACAATGTTGCAGTTGTTGATAGCCCGCTATTCCACGTGTAGCTGGTCCTTCATTTAAAAGTAACCGCTCTCGAGCAATAACTTGGCACCTACACGCAGTGGCGTATAGCACCCGTAAAGACAGTATTTAATTTCCGTTCATGTGAGTCTTTGCCGGGATGTCTGCACCCATATAACTCCATCTATCATTTAATTTGCCCACGCGAGTCAAATTGACCACTTTGAGGGACCAGCCGTGCGTTATTGAGTAAGATGTATTTTCCATCATCATGCTGCCTCCTCAACTGCGAGATATTCCTGGATGCCGCCGGAGTGGTTTCGAGCATGGATCTCGATTGCATATCGCCAACGTTATCGCTGGTGTCCCATATGTTTCATTCACATGTGGCATATTAATATTACGAGGACATTACATACTTGACAGTAAATGATACAGTAATGTTTGTCAGGATGGACATACAAGAGACAATGGTCACGGGGTGACGCGGGTCGTTCACCACATGTTCAGTCGTTTCATCCACAGATTCAAGAAAAACGTAACGACCACCCTGTCCAAGATTCCTTCTGCCCGCTCTGTTACTCGTAAGATTAATGTCGCTTGGGACCAATTGGCCACCTGCTTGCCTCGACTGGTAGTGGTACACTAATGCGGACAGCGGTCAATTTAGAAGCAAGTGGACATGGAGAATACGTACATTGATATCAACCCCGTTCTCTGCAATCTTCCACTTGTACTCAGCGCCGTTGGCTTTGAAACGGCGAGATCTAATGGATTTGACTGTTCGGTACCAAGTTATATCGATCGCAAGCAGCCTACTTACTTGCTTGTCGGCTTCTTTAATTTGCGCAGGTCTCTCATCGACACCTATGCATCAAATAAATAAACAGGCACACCTGCGGCGAAATTGAAAAACCACGAACCCGCTCTATTCCCCCGAAAAACACTGACGCATTTGTGTCTGATGACCATTCAATCTGGCCGGCATTTTCCCACCGCTGCGTGGCCGCATTCTTTCGCTGGATTGTAGTGACGCCCATGTTTGTCCCGGTATTTGGGTGGTGAAACTACACAGGATGGATGAGACCTGTCAGCTCGTGACGGGGACAAACGGCGAGGAGGCGTACCTTGTAGATTTCAGCCGTGTCCAAAGACCCCTCAATAACTTGCCTGATCTGGAAGGTCCGCATGTCCGCATCGGAGTTCTGAGGAAAGATGAATCGAAATGTGAGGTCGCCGCTGGCCATTGTGAGCGGGGTGGTATGACACAGGAGCGCCACAGGGGAGGGACAGCAGATAAAGAATGAATTTGACTGTTATATAGTGCTCCGGCTCGTGCATTGCGGCGCGCCGAACCAGCTTGAAATATCCTTACTGTGCTCGGCACGGATACGTCAAGGCAGAGCGCATTGATCCCACCGATCTGATACAGACATGACTGAGGCTAAATCGCGTGGTCATACGATGGCTCCGGCTGATAAAGACGTCGAGTATGCAAGTAAAGCGTGCGAGGGCCGCAAGGCGCACGCATGCGGAGCACATTATGGGGACAAAATACGGCGATGAAGCCGGCTTTGATGGAGACACGGTCAGAAGTTCTTGGGCTCGATGGCAGATGCGAGTGCGTGGCAGAGAAGGTGGGTACACGGAGGAGCAGGAGAGTCAATTCCGTTCCGAGTCGCCATTGTTGCCTTATCGATTCCCCCGGGACAGGACCGGAAACCCCCAGCAAATGTTGTAGGCAATCACCGGACGTGGTGGCAGAGATTATCGCATCACTGGGTTGGTCAGTCTCCGACGAATCATTGGGCCCCCTTACCTGAACATGTTGAAACGAACGATCAATTGACCATCGCTCGGCAGGCTTTCAGAACGCGGGGAGAGAGGAGGCTGGCTTTTGGTTCGGCTGCGAGGGTGTAAGCGTTCCATATGACCGCAGGCGATGGCTGCCGAGGTAGACCAGAATCAAGGATATCAACACCATTCATAGGGGGGAGATGCACGCGGGAGTCTCATGTGTCGATATTATTGCAACCAGGCCGGAGTCGGCTTTGGGGTGGAGAGACTCGATCTTTGGCAGTGCCACCGAGCTTCTGTATGATCCTAGGACGAGGATCTTGGATCATCATGCGCGTTCAAAATGCGCGTCACGATGACCTGGGTGTAGGCGTGCGGGGACCGGCCGCCCATGTCAGATAGAAATGTGTCCTGAACGCAGCAACTATACGTACAAGTCTGATCCGCCGACGGATTGCCGAGTTGGGCAGCAGAGTATTTGGAGAAGATAGAAGGCTCGCCCGGCCAGGCACTTACGTGGGTAGGCAGAAATTCAGAGAGGGACGACTATGGACATTGAAGCTAGAAGACGCGAATTTTGAGGGTGAAGGCTAGAAGCTGGGAATAATCTAACGACACGACACGGGGGTGCACTGGAGCTATCTCCGTTGCACATGGTCTGCTCAGTCGCATGCGCAAGGCGTGTATTGGCTACAGCTAAAGCAATGCACTCGGACAATGTCCCCTGCGGTCGACGACAAGTGCCACATTGATGCCGAACATGCTCCCGAAAAGGGCTGTCGCTCCGGGAAATGCCGGATGCCGGAGCCGTTCGCGTCGGATGGCTTCCCTGCGCGTCTGCAAATCCCCAAACATTGCCATTGCTACTGCACCCAGCCAAGCCCCGCCGCCAGCCCTGCGCACAATACCCGGACGCTATCTCTTCACCACAGCGCTCGTCGACTCGCAGCCATTAATGCCCAGCCACGATCACAGGGCGCGCAGTGTCTCTGGTGACATCGAGGTATAATATGCTCTCTTGAGAAGGGCATCGCTTTGTTCATAGTTCTCGCAGAGCTCCGACATTGGTTCTCCTCATGAGGGCGATGGCATGTCAGGTTCTGCCAACGCTCCAGGCAAACCAGGCAGAAAGAAGAACCCAAAGTACGCGACCACGCCCAACGTGATCATGCTTACGTTCATCGCATTTTCGTAGCTCCCAAGCAGCAAGGCGCGACCAAAATCGCATAGCTCAGAGGGAGTTTCGTCTGAGGAAGCAACAACGTGTACGCGACGACACCGGATTCATTGCAGGGAAGGTTGCTTTAACGCCTGATGTAGATTCGTGATTTGGAAGCGAGTGTCGAGATTCTCTCCGGCGGCAAGGATGAAGCTCTCGGTCACTTGAGGAAGATTTTAAAAGGTAAGCTCGGGTACTTGATACACCATGATTCGTTTGAGGGGTTGATGGCGCACTAATCTATAATCAGACTTGATGCACGAAAACCAGGTCCTTCGAGATCTCCTTCGCAGTCTGAGTTCGTTCATAGGCGACGGTGCAGGAGGTCTTCTCCCAAAACTAGGCTGGGACTTGAATGACTTCAACAATTTCATCAACAAGGCAGAGACGGACTCTGCATGGGAGAGCTATCAGCGCCACAAACAAGATTCTTCCAATACCGCTGCTGCCAGTGCATCCGCGTCGGGTTCACAGCCAATCACGGCTCAAAAGCGTCCCTCAGAGGAGGATCCCCTGGTACGCGCGAAGCGTCCTCGGGGAATGAGCGAACAGAATGGCAACGGTGAACATACAGATTCTTTTGCTAATCCTATGCTTGTGCCTCTGAACTCTGCCGGACAATCTGTCGGTCCTAGCGGTCTCTATCCAGCGACAGGCAGACAATCTCACGACGCGTCTATTCTTAACGAGTTTCTGCGCAACAGCTCGAATGGCTCTCCTATGTTCATGTCTCCATCCTCTCCTGCCAATGCCTCGGGCTCTTATAATCCACCAACAAGTACGAGCGTTGGAAATTCTTATCAAGGTTCTTATATGCAAACACCGATGTCCGTTTCTGCTGACGGAGGTATGGGTTCCATCCCCCTTGGAGGGTCTGTCTCTGTACAACAGTCGAGAGTGGCTCCAACACCGCCAAATCAAGCCGTCAGCCAGGAAGACGATACAGAGCCCAAGAAGGAGGACGCATATAAGCTGATTCAGTATGTCTCACCTGGTTTCAGAACAGCCTCTGAACTCAAAGCTCGCTGCAGTTACCATCTAGATAACTACAAACGCAATAGTGCATATTGCCTTCCCTCTTCTCTTCGGCCCACTCTGGTGCAAAGGTGAGAGTGATAGCTAATATAGCATGAGACACGAATTGACGTGTCGATTTTAGAACTGTTCCTCATGGTAGGGAGCCAAGACATGCCCCTGTGCCAGCACTGATCATGTTGTAGAGAGTGTAATCGATGCCATCCTGCATCCGGAACTTCGCGATCGCATGATCCTTCTCCGAGGTATGACCATCTGCCTGATTTTTGATTGCACTTGTTCATGCATAAGCAGGGAGATTTGACCTGGTCGACTGCTTACATGACTACCGAAGTGCGGTTGTCATCCACGGCGACGACGTACTTGCTCATAGCAATTGGGAGATCTCTGAAACTTGGCTTCAACAGTACAAGTGAGTATCCCGCGAGGTTATGCTGACAACATACATTCATGCTGCGTACCCTTCTATCAGGTTTTTGGCTGATCAAGCGACACTAATGATCACGAACCGCTGGCGACGCGAAAGAGGCGAATCTGAGTTGCGTCTAGCTGATTTCCAAGAGCATCCAACATCTGTCTAGGGTCCCACTTGATTACTTGTAAGGATGCTCGAGAACATCAGGAAGAAGCATTTATATCCACTTAGTAGTATTAGTCTGTTGTGTTCTATTTGCTGTTCATCGCGGTTTTGGAGACACAAAAATTGCCTGCACCATTCCCATATATAGTCATTTTCCTGACATGCGGGGAAGTACATACAGATCTATGAAAAGCAGAAGCTTCAGAAAAGTAGCATTTTAGCCGGACACTATTCTATTGGTGGGATCAATTGCGAACATACCGCGTTTGCGTTACCAAGATGCTTTCTTGACACCGGGGAGCTCTCCGGCCAGAGCTTTCAGACGGAATTGGTACTGTACGGACGGAATGGTGAGGAAAACGAATATAGACATCGCCATTGAGAGACGTACCCTGCACAAGCCAAACTCGCTCATGACACCTCGTCCACGGCCCGACTCCGTGCACCTGTTTTTGACCGTGGAGGGTCTCGTGTACTTCCCGAATGTATTCAACTGCAGTTGTGCCTGGTAGCGCACTTGAGGGGGTAAAGTTTGGTTGCGAGCAACATAGAGGTATGCTCTCCGAGCGATCTCATTGACCTTGACGCCATTGCGAGCCTTGATATCGCGCAGAACGCGGGCGTTGGGCATGATGGTAGCTGGCTAATAGGGAGGACGTGTCGGCGAATAACGAAGCGCCATAACTTCCGCGGGCGCCTTTCACTGACGTTGCAGAGGAGGCGCTTATATGCGGAGAACTCATCGTTCGCCTCGTCGTTCACCCTCACATTGGGAGCTCAGCGTAGTGACTGCCCATCATTGTCTTCTGGGATATGCGGTAGTAATAGCTGGTGAGCGCAATGCCCTGGGTATATTGCAAGAGCTAATATATGCATGGAAACAGCCTACTAGGATGTCCCTTTCGAGAATCCTAAGCCTCTCACCACGTCAACGACGAACATTCGTGTCTACACTTTTCGGCCTTACGTTTCTGGCATCTGTATTGACAGTGTCAGCCTCCACCATCTTGCCTTGTCCGGCACACGAGCGGAACCGGTTTGCAGACGGCGTTGATCAGGGAGGAATGAGCGGGCAGCGTGCGGTAACTGTCGTGGAGAAAAGGCCGAGGAGATGGATAGAAGAAACGATTCCCAGGGATTGATAGTTCAGCCAGTACAGTCCACCTTATTTCCGGTTCTATCATAATCTGCGTGCGCCTCATCAACTTTAAATTCCAGTATGACTGCCGTTGTCATTCAATCTATAACATCGTTCATAGACGAGCTATGCTACACAGTTATTCTCTGCTGGTATATACATCATCACTCTCAGGACATTAAGACGTTAAGGCTCGCTGCTGGGCGGAGGCCTATCTATTGTATTTTTTCGTCGCCGGTATTGCGCTTCTTGTTCCTCATGCGTCCCGCTGCAAATGATCGTCGTTAAGATAATGATAACGTTTAAATGATTGAAAACATACGGAAGAGGATTCTCCTGTATTGGTATGCAGCACAAAAGACAGAAGAAGTTGGCGGCAGCTTGGCAGATGAAGACGATGCGCAAGGCATCTGCGTATGAACTAACGGCGGCCTGTCGTAAAGGTGGGCTCAATTCCGATATAATACTCGTTGAATGTCTATCGGAATACATGAGTGGCAACAATAGCATTTCATTATAGTACTTACCGAATTTTCTCGATGATCTAAGGAACAAGGTTTGTTAAAATAACTAGAAACATCGACGAATCACCGACTGACCTCGATTGCGTCTGGGCCTGTGATGCGTTCTCTAAGCTTACGATGTAATACAGCTTGCAACAGTGCACCGCTCAAGCTAACCCCCAATACTTGCCCCGTAGTCCTGAAAAGATAAGTGACTGACATTTAACATTAGTGAAGTGAGTTGCTCGAGAATCAGTGCATTACGCACTACCAGTGGCAACGGCCAAGTCTTCTTTGGCGACACTCGCGATCATCGCCTGGAAATCGCAGTTAAGCAACATCACAACATAAGACAAGCAATAGGAGAAGCTTACAATCAGTGTAGTGGTGATGACGCTAGACATCCCGAGACCTTGCGGGACTATGTCGAACCATAAGTCAAAGGAAGGAGTATTGTCATTCCAGAAACAGATGAGAACAGCGGCAGCGACTGTCATCAGACATGAGATAAGGGTCAATGTGTACAGTCGCCCAGTCCGCCTCATCATCCTGATCATTCATGTGAAGACAGATAGATGAAGCCAATGAACGGGTACTTACCAGCCGGCAAATACACTTCCAGTCGATATGGATATCTACCAAACCGATGATTAGTATACATCATGCATCGCAAGGTTAACGTAACGTCTTAGACGTACAGAGTGGGGCAAAAGATGCAGCCCTACGCATACGTGTAAGCCAAAACGAACACTTCATTCTCTAATAAAGTCCTACTCGCCTGCGTCTGTCGAAGTGTTTAATCTCACGGCAGAAAAATACTAGTGAAAATGAGTACCCCGAATTACATTCACTCAATCCTATTACTTACTAGAGGCACATTGTATAGCTATCATATAGCGAGTCAGCCCGTAATGCAACATCTACAATGAAAACGTTGCGCACCGTCGAGAATGCAGCAGCGCTGCCGAAAAAGCAAGCTAGCGATACGGCAAGAGGCGTCCGCTGTTTCACTAGTCTCATCGGCATGACAGGATATGGCGAGTAGTACGTCTCGGTGAGTATGAACATGACGCAGAATACCACGCTAGCACATAGGAGTCCCCAGATGACGGAATGTGACCATGGTAGTTCCTCAGTAGACTTCAAGCTGAACCCAAGCAAGAGGCAGCCAACTGTTCCTACTAGTGTGAAAGACCCCATGAAGTCAATTCTTCGTATCTTCGAGCGTAAACTCTGCTGTTGAACCTCGTCGGGAAGCTCAATTGAGACTTTTGTGATCACCAAAATGAACGAAAACAGTAAGATGGGCATCTAGGGACAGCCAGTGCCTATGTAAGTACAGCGCACGTCGTAGGTCAGCTTGTTGACGTCACCTGGAAAAGAAAAGCTGATCTCCTGGAAATATGTATGGTCTGACAAGAACATTCAGCTATCATACGAAATGTGCTTACCATCCGAATGTATCGTTCAGCCAGCCTCCGAGAGGTCCACCAAGCCCGGCCCCCAGACCGAACAAACTAAGAAGTCTAGATAAGCGCACTGGATAATCCCTTAAAGCGGCGACGCTCTCACATATTCGTCATTCCCTGATATAAACCACGCTGTCGGCTGAATACAGTGGTTCAATTCCTGGAACGTATCTACAACTTTATGTCAGAAGCTCACAGTGGTATCAAATCTGTGACCGCAATGCTTGATACTGACACCGTGTAGTGCACAGATGAGCGCGTGACGTCAGATATGGTGAGATTTCAGCTCACCTGTCATAACACTGTGATTTGACCACGGTAACAAATTCGATATGGGTTGCGCAGTTCGGATAAGTGACCGAAGAACTTACCCTCCACCGCCCATGCCTGCTATCGTTCGAGCGATGATTAGGGAATCCATCGAAGGAGCCAAACCACACAGGAAAGTCCCCATTCCTGAAGACTAGTCAATCGAAGGAAACTGGTCAACAGAGTGAATGGCGAACCGAATAGTGACAAGGCAAGAAGCATCGCGCCTCTACGGCCGAGGATATCAGAAAGTCTACCTGCGTCACGGTCGATGATCCCAAACCATTGTGGAAGCGAGCACACATACCGTATAGCGGCGTGAAACAGCACACGGACAAGAGATATGATGTACCTATGTACGAAGACCTGTTGGATTCATTGAAGTAGCTTCCAATGGGTGCGAGCAAGGTAGCAACAATTGTTCCTAGCCAAAGACTCAGTGAACGCTCCAAGTGAGCACGAGAACACGGTACCATCGAGAGCGCCTAAGAATACAGCACTCCATAATCCAGCCAAGACCCATGCAAGGTCGGACCCGGACACTTTACTCGTTGGAGGAGGCGGCTCTTGAGGTGGTTCTTCAAGTGTAGTGTCGTCCACGGAACGATAGGATTCGTTGTCCTGCTCTTGCAGCAGTGGTCGCGTTTCCGAGCGATCATCTTGGGACGTAGGCATTGCACAATGTAAGGGGGAATAGTAAGCTTCGGCACACCCCCGTGCTTATATCGTCGGTCGGAAGTGAGATGTCTTGCGGAATCAGAAGGATGTCCGGATAATCTGGAACAAGATGTTCGGCGCCGAGTGACAAGAAGGGCGCCAGGGCCAGGACCGGGAAGGCTAGTAAGCTTAAGTCTAGCCTAACAATGATGTTTTGCGCGAGACTCGTCTGCGAAAACAGATAAGTGGGCGGGGTCGTCGGAGGATATCACGACAGAGATAGCTATTCGTGCCTCGTTGAATTCTTATACAGTGGAGATCTCTCTTCCAGGATCTAGACGTGAGCAACACTCATGCGTCAGCATCCGAGATGAGCGGATATTCGATTGGGGAACCACCTTATATACTCCCGGGGTGTGTAAACCGATCGGCTTGCCGCAGATGCAACGAACGAGTGGCCAGCCTAGCACATCCTCACCGCGCAGGCTGCTCGCAGGCCACCAACGCGACTTGTACAATGCCAGCCATGGTCGTCGTCACCGAGGCGCCATCAATCCACTCAGTGAGTAATTCCGGATCAAGAACCAAGATGCAAGGTAGATTCCGGTCGGCACGAGTACACTGACACGCCACCAGACTTGTGTTGGCGCTCGTGTACTGTGACTCGCCCAAAATCTGAGGATAGCCAACGTACTGACACGGCAATATTCAAGTCGTAGTCAATGTTCGAAGCAGTTCAAGCGAGGCCCTCTACTTTACTACAATGTCGATCTCCATCGCTCGGTCGCAGGTTGCACTCGTACGCATTTCAACATCCGTACTCTTCCCGGTGGCGACTTGCTCACGGATTGCTGTAACCTGGACGAAACAGACTCGCAGCTTCAAAACATTTTCCTCCATTTCCAACTGATCCGCTCGCCATCGGGGTTGTGTAAGACCGCTCGCTTGGTGTCCAAGCGCGAAGCGATGCTAGTCACTTGTCACACACCAACGAAATAGAATTATACGGTGCGTACAGCCCGGTTTCAAATCTGATAGTCATTTTTGAAGCTAGATCTATGTAGAAAACAGCCCATTTCTACCAGAGCTACTGGTAGGTCCATCCTGTCGTACTACAATTATACCCGGCCTATAAATTGTGACACCGAAAGGCCATCAGGAGCCTCTGCGTTATTGTTTTGAAATTGCTGTTGACAAGTTCTGCGCAGGCATGACGCAGTGTTCTATTAGAGCCCATAAATTTCTTCACTCCGACTGTCATACGGAGTTGTTACTACGCATAAATGCTAGAAAGATTGCGTCAATCTAAGAGCACTTTGTCATCCTCCGATCCTCACGCCGCTGATCCCGCCTTGGAGCCATGAGGATATATTTCCAAAATGGTGGGCTTCACATATCCGACAACACTTTGTCGTCGGCACCCTCCTGCCTCGTCAGCGGCACTGACTTATGTGGCTCAATACCCTTGCCGTTGGTTATACGCTATAAAAGCAGTCATATGTCAACTCTGAAGCAAGTGCGAAGCAGTAAATGACTTTTGATATGATAACCATGCAGGCTCACGGGGCATGCTCGGACCTAGGTGTCCTTAGTTCATCTCAAGTGTCGTTGGAGTGCGCCAGCACACTGTTGCTCCCCCCCGTGAGCGTATTTCTTGATCGTCGTTGTTATCACTGATATTGCCTACACACTATGGACATAGAAGCATCTGGCCATTAATACTGTACAATTTTTCTGATATTTTCCCTTGTGTTAGCTTCTGACTAAGTAGCGATGTTCACGGGGCGAGTGGTCGGTCTTTTATTGCATTACCACAGGATTCTACCAAAAATGTGAAGATAGTGTAGGCGCCACTCCTTGGATAACTCGCTTGTCCCCAAGGCGGGCCCGAGCCACACACAGTGAAACGGAATGGCAACTCTGGACCTGTAATGCCAAGGTGGCTTTATTAATTGGTTTCTTTTACGATATAATCCGGTCCGAGTTGGCGAGCGCGAAATTCAGAAGTTCAACGATTATTCAAGTATTGTATTCACATTTAATGACCGACAACCACGGCGAATGTATAAACAGGTGCGTGTTTTTACTTTCCCCGCAAGACACACACGTATCAGTGGTTTCTTTCACCGTTTCAAATTCATACAGCCAGCTGCGTTTGACCAACTGGCAACAAGAGACGTTAGCGCATGCCGGCGACAACTCGTCCCCGAGGCCAACACATGTCATGTCTAGCTTCATCTCTTTGAGTCATGGTTGTCGGATCGGACTTGTATCCAGGAGGATGCCCCTGCAACATGTCTGCCGCATATGTCGGACATACTTATAACACACAGCCAAATGTCGAACATGGACGACGTCGTCAGTTGTATTCTCATGTGTTCAATATACGCCTACATTATAGCTATGCAGATCCTCGCAATGTCAACTCTGATCGACAGTTGGTCATCTTTCGCTGGTGAGTGTTGCTTATCTAGACCATATTTCCGCTGCGTTGCGTCGCGCCTCTAGCTGGGCAATAGCGTCCTGTGTCAATGAGCTCCAAGAAGGCATCACAAAAAAAGTTGAAACTGCTTGCACAAGTAATGCAGGATTCCCTGATGCTCTTGTTCGATCGTAAGTGATTTAGTTTGCTCAGAACCTGACCAAGGATCAGAACGTTGCTATCGCGTGTGACCCCCCTTCAATATGTCACAGGGCTCTATCAAAGGGAAGAGCCACCGAAGGGACTTGATCAGGCCACTGTGTCTCATCCTTTGTGCATAACTGAGGTGATCGAGGTGTCACGGACTCTTAAGCCCTCATATTGTCAGAAGAATTACATAAATGTGTCATTTCTGGATGCGTTTCCGAAGTCACTCAATGATCAGCTTTTGACATACTTACCACTGTTCTCCTATTCTGCAATTATCTCCCTTAGGATGTCACACGTATGTGTTCCGATATGTCTGGAATGCGGCTACCCTCCACTTGGCATTTTCATGTCCATGCCAACAATGGCAATTCAGTGGCCTGGATAAATCCAAATATTTTTTTTATTTAAAAACGAAATGAGCGTCTCCTGAAAATTTTATACTCCCAGACCTTCGCGCTGTGGACATTGGGCTGCCTTTTTGCCAATTCACATGGAGCGGAGCTTGTGTGTAGAGGGGGTGACCACCCATGCACAGAGAATCGGAGCGCACGGCTGGGTCCGAGCTATCACCTATCTTGACGGTTAGTCCAGAGGCCATGTTGTGTCAGCCAGCGATCTCAGTGAATGGATACTGGCACCGTTACGTACTTAGAGTGTCCTCGACATTCGGTGGAGTACCACTGTAGTCTACACTATGGCTTTATGGACACGTGCTAGTCCACGCCAGAGAGGAGAGAATGTCAATAAGGAGCTCAAAACATTTCTGGAGGAGAGTTGCTGTATTAAACCAGGTTTCCGTGTGCCGGGACCCAGCTGCTTGCCAAAGTAAGTTATCAAAATATTGACGCGTCGAAACCATGTGATCGTAACGCCCGAGCTGCAGTATCCATGTCATCTCCGGCACAGCGTTAGTGTATTGTGTCTGCTACTGCTATGGCACGTCGTCGTGTGGTCATACATATCCCTCATATTTTTGCTCGAGCCCATTCACTTCAGCACTCTTCACTCGTCTCCGCCTTCTAAGTCCTCTACCACATGCACTTGAGCCTCCAAATTGTTCCTAGTAAGGCTTATGAGTACCTGCTTCGGCTCTTTCTCGCAGCTGGCTCGAGTCCTATGACGACTCTATGTTCTCCCTGTGCAGCCCCCTGGTCACTGATGCTCTAGTTGGCAACTGCTCTTTTTCGAACTATTCCTGTTGCTATTACTTAACAATTCACGTTTGGATGTGTCATGAAGGGCTGGTTTTTGTTTTCGCATGCCATGGGTTCTAAATGAATCAAGGAATGCGATGCAGATCATCACCGTAAAGCCGAAGCATCTATTGGGTCCGGTCGCGACTTCATTAGAGACGCCGCTTTCATTGCTGCAATCGTACGGTGTTTTATTATCGCTACTCTGCGTCTTGTGGACCACGATTGAGACTGCAAGGTTGCCACTTGCCTGAGGACTGTTCTTCTCTGCTCTGTGTCTCATTGTTATGTCGGCGGTGTAGTTCAACAGTTCATCGTGATGTGGTTCCTACTTCAGATATCAGGGTTCTGTCAGGTCCGGATCCGTAAATTTTCAAATGATTTATCGACTCGAACCATTCTTTAGAAGTAAGTGCGCAATTCCAGCCACAGCCTTTGCTCTGTTTATGGACATCCCTTTATTACTATTAGAGACAGCGCAGATTCTCAGGTCGCCGTCATCTTCACATTGGGTAAACGCGTTGACAGCTCGCATACGGTTTTACGCATCAACGAGTAATCGTACTAATTGTGCTGCAACATATGGGCACGTATGCTATGTCGCTTACTTCCACATCCATATACAGTGTATAACAGCATCATCAGATGGGTACGCCAAAAGGTTACTGACAAAACAAAGTGCAGTGGCAAGATCGAGTCCGGAACGGGTGCCAGGGCATCCACATCGATATCGTCCCATGAAGTTGCAATTGTGCAGGGCATGTAACACGAGGCCTCGACCTGCTCTTTAATGGTGTATTGCATGCGCGTGCTTCGCAAGCAGGTCGAGACGGGCGGGTCCGCAAAAATGGCGTCATGAAAACGGGTCACTTGAGGCCATGTAGTCCAGTAGCAAGCCCAATGGCAAGCTGGCGTCCTAATTAGACTTCCCACGCGGGAGAATGCGGTGGCCCGACTATTGGTTTGTCATCAGCGGTCGATGTCGTTACCTTTCTTGTATGCTGTTCCTGACAAATGGGCCGTGTTATCTGCCACAAGTTATCTGTGGCACTGTGGCAACGCCGCAAGAACTATATAATGGATCCATGAGCGGAAGTAGTAAAGCAGCTGTAATCCCACTGTATCATGGAGAACTGGAGTATGTAGTCATACGTAGGCTGAGAGACAATGGTATAGGACCCATAGCCTGGAACGAGTCTGCCCCTGGCGTTCTGGAAGCAGGGTTTGTTGCTGATATAATCGCCGTGTAATACACCAGCGGAAATGGGGTCAAAAATTGATTGATTTAGAGTTAGCTTCAAAGTAGGAGTTTGAGCTCAAATCTACTCGAAACAACACCATACACCCGCCATACGTACAAGGTCTCAGGAGGCACGACGGTCGACAACTGGTCTGCGTGCAGTCACTCACAACGCGCCTCTGTTTCATTTTCACCGTAATTGTGCTCAGATGCTCCGGACTGGCGGCGAAAATATCAGCCCGGTTATTCCTCAGCCGCAGGGACTGCTTGGACGCAACGTTTCCACTGGCTCGAATGCTGGTGCCCCCGCCTGGAAGTCTATCTTTCGCATCGGGACACCGTCTTCCAAGAAATTGCCAGGCAATATGACTCCCTTGACTGTTGACACCAACTCTTTTCATTCCGACGGCTCTGCCATCCTCACACCCAACCCGTCGCTCACTCCCCATTCCATTCTTTCCACGGAACAACGTTCGTCCTACAACTCTTCAAACACGCTCTCGAGCGACTCGAACAAAGCTCTGCCTGCCAGGACTCCCCAAAAGTCGTACAGTACGCCTACGTACTTGGACGAGTACCCCCTCGAAGACGACGGCAACGCCCCATACGGCAAGGATAAGCCACGTTCACGGTCCAAATCCAAGTCCGACAAGCAGCGCATGCTCGGTCGCGCAAAGGGTCCGTCCACAGCAGCCTCATCACAGGTGTCGTTTTCCGCCATCAACCAGCCCAGCTCCTCGCGATCAGGCCCGCTGTCGCCCAAGGCCTTTGGGGCGAACGCGTCCCGCTTCATCCGTCGTGTTGCATCTGCGCCAAACGCAAAGGGCCTCTTCTCCTCGAGTTCGCGATCGGCATCGGCGACGACCACGAGGAATGGACTGCTCGCACCTGGAGATGGCATGCCACCCATACCACATACCGTGCACGAGAACAGCACATCGGATCAGGGCACTAATTCTCTGGAGACGGTGTCGTCGGCATCGTCGAGAGGGAGGCCCGTCCGGCCACAGCCACAGCGTGCGCACAGCACAACATCGGTGAACGCCAAGAAGACCAAGGATCGAGTGACGAACGCTCAGATGCCAATGGAGGGCCCTGGGAAGGTCGCATTTCGGAGAACGTATTCGAGCCATTCCATCAAAGTTAGATCGGTAAGCGGGATGTTCAACGGCATGCTAGTAGGTTTGGAGTATAATGTGGGCTCGTTCAGGTTGAAGTCGGCCCAGCCAGCTTCCAGAAGATCAAAATGCTCGGTCGGGGAGACGTCGGGAAGGTATATCTGGTACGCGAAAAGAAGTCGAGCAAGCTGTTCGCCATGAAAGGTGCGCTAGTGCGCTTAATTTAAAGTTGATGGGCCTGGGCATTCTAACCTCTTCGCGTAGTCTTGTCAAAGAAGGAGATGATTGAGCGGAACAAGATCAAGCGTGCTCTTACGGAGCAGGAAATCCTGGCGACAGCAAACCACCCGTTCATTGTGACTCTTTATCACTCGTTTCAGTCAGAACAGTACTTGTACTTTTGTATGGAGTACTGCATGGGTGGCGAGTTCTTTCGGGCCCTTCAATCTCGGCCTGGCAAGTGTCTACCCGAAGACGCATCACGATTCTATGCGGCCGAGGTGACTGCTGCGTTGGAGTACTTGCATCTGATGGGATTCATCTACCGTGATCTCAAACCAGAGAGTGCGTGTGACTTGTAATTTTTCATTGTATGGAGAGTCTCGATGCTAATCGTTCGCTATGACGCAGACATCCTGTTACATCAGTCTGGGCACATCATGCTTTCTGACTTCGATCTAGCCAAGCAATCAAGTGAGCCTGGTGGTAAACCGGCGACAATACTTCAACAGGAAAGCGGGGTATGCACGCTCGTATGGAATCCCGCATATAGCCCGCTCATCAGAACATGGTGGCACCTAGATTCCCTTGATTGACACTCGCTCATGTACCGCTGACTTTCGGACAAATTCGTTTGTCGGCACGGAAGGTACGGGGTATCGTGCATATGGTCGTGTCTCGCTGGATTGATTTGATCGCATGCAGAGTACATTGCGCCAGAAGTCATCAAGTCATCCGGGCACACATCTGCCGTGGACTGGTGGACGCTCGGTATCTTGATCTATGAAATGATTGTGCGTCATTTACATCCGCTGCCGCAGCTGGCATCGGCTGGGGGCGCTCCCGCGCGGACCCGCTAAACCTGATCCGTTCTGATCTTAGTACGCGACTACGCCGTTCAAGGGAGAACACCGGAAGGACACGTTCAACAATATACTGAATTTGCCCGTGTGGTTTAAGGATACGCCCAAGGTGTCATCGTAAGCGGTAGTTTTCGCCTAGCCAGATTTAGACCTTTGCTCACTCCGGATGTTTTCGCGTGTCGTCAGAGCGTGCAAAGATGTCGTATCGCGGCTGCTCGACAAACGAGAGTCGACGCGACTGGGCAGCAAGAGTGGGGCGTCGGAAGTGAAGCAACACAAGTGGTTCGCGAAGATCAACTGGGGACTCTTGAGGAATACGCAGCCACCGGTAAGCACGACTGTTCTGCACCTTCCTTTGGCGCCGAGGCGCCCGGGTCGGTCGCTCGCGGGAGACGTTCTTCTGCGCCCAGCGATGCTTATCCACGTCTTCCTTGCGCGAGCGGACTCGGTACCTGGCGTCTACAGGCGACGCATCGGCTATCTAGGAAGCCCTGCTCGCTCGGTGGCATCCTGATATCCACCGAATGTTTGCTTGCCGCTTGTCTGTCTGCATCACGTCATTGTCGAGATTTCACTGACGCATTTGTTTTTCGTTTGTTCCCCGTTTACCTCGTCCGACTCGCACCCTTTCGGCCGTCTTCGTCCCTTCGCGTCCGCATTACCGCATCGCCATGATTCTGGCTGTCACGTCCGATCGCCGACCAACGCCCACCATATACGCGTCCCTTCTGGCCCCGTACCGCCTCGCATTGGTCTCGCGCCTACGTGCACTCCGTTCCGGTGCCCCTCTCCGGCGGACTCGCAGATCGTCCCGACCGCGTCGAACGGGATTGACGCCGTGAACTTCCGGCAGATGAACGAGTCTGTGTCGCTGCACTTGGAAAAGCAGCAGCAGCACTCGTCGTCGCCGCAGCGCTCGCCGCGGCCGCCATCCGCGACCTCGTCGATGCCGTATTCCATCAAGGGCGTCGCGGGCGCGGGGGTACCTGCCACGCCGGGGCTGGGGGGGGACGACGGGATGGAGCCGCCGCCGACGGAGGTGGACCTGTTCGGCGCGTTCTCGAGCATGACGTTGCACTATGACGGGGAGGACGAGAGCTGATCCGCGGTGTGCGAGGGCGGAGGCGCGGGTCGGAAAGACCTCGCTGCGGACCCCGGTGCGCTGACGTGACTTTTGCGGCCGTGGCATTGTTTCACCACTCGTTTGGGCTTTTGGTGTTTGGGGTGATTTGTTGCATTGCGGAGGACTGGAGAGGGCTGCACGGTGCTCGTTTCGTTTCGTTTCATTTCGTTTCGTTTCGCCGCGTTCAAGTTCAAGTCGACGTAGCGTATCCTCGCCTGGTGTCTGCGTCGTTCTGCCCGTGGCCGCTCGTCATATCTTGGCATTCATGGCGCGGACGCTGGCGATCTGCCCGCGTTTTGTTTGATTCCCATTGGTTCCCGCCCTATTGGCACTGCACGCGCCGTATTTTCATTGTACCACTACGCCACCACACCGCTCGTTGATTCGCGCACAGCTCACACACACACACACACACCGACTAACTTGGCGTTGCACTATATTTGTTTTTCCACTAGTCTACACCGTTCACGCATATACGTATACCTTTGGACCGCGCATGTTACCGGTGATGACCCGGCGGATGGTACAGCACGGTTCCGCTAGATATTCAGAATGGATCATAGAGGAGAGCGTTGTGCGGCCGTGTGCGTGTGTCGGGGAGGCTGACAGTGATTGTGTGCGGTTAGCGAGCGTCGCAGCGTGAGGGATGGGCCGAGTGCGAGCGCGTCAGGGCGGTGAGTCAGCGAAAGGTGGGTGCTGCTCGAGGGGCGAGTTCTTTTTCCGGGACTCGGCTGGACACTCGGCTAGAACGAGGGTGTCGGTGCCGTCAGAGGGGGCAGCTGAGCATGAGGCCCGGGGAGCTATTGTTGGGCATGCACAAGGGGCGGCCTGGTGCTGTGGGATTGGAAGCGGACGGGGACAGGGGGTGACGAGGGCAGGGCGGCAATTGCGGTGGGCGAGTAGGTGGATGTGAATATCTCGCGGGAGGAGGACGGATGGGGCAAGATGATGGGGGGAGACTGGTTCACGATCGGTGGCAAGCGGAGGTATATCGCGTGTGCGGCCGTGGTGGGACGTGTGGGCAGGGCTGCGGAGGGAGGGGGTATCTGAGGAATGATGGAGCTGGGCCGCGGGGAGGGCGCTGGGGACGGAGGCATCCGAGATTGCCCGGGTGGGCTGGACGTCGGGTGTGCCGGCGCTGTGAGGAGTGTGCATGGCGAGGAGGGGGGCTCGGGCGTCGGGCGTCGGGGGGCGGGGGTCGAGCGTCGGGGGT